ACACAAACACACACACACACACACACACACACAGTGCAGCTGTGTGGGACCAGGGTTCTGTGACGTCCTGATCCAGTTAGTCAGACTCAAAATGAAAGCTGGTGTTATAAAACATTTTGTTACCATGTTAACCTGTGACGATGGTGTTCAGATTGTCCCACGCTCCCTGAACGCACCGTGGATCAGCTGTTGGATCTGTGAGAACAGGATCAGTTCTTGGCACATGTCTGGTTCAGTAACTCCTACATCAGAAGGTTCAGCTCCTTCAGGACCTTCAGCTGTTTGGGTTTTCAGCTGTTTTTACTTCTTTAGCTTTTTTCACTTTTTCAGACACGTTGAAAATGAAAGGAGCTGTTTTCAACTTCAAAATGTTTCTAAATCTTTACARCGTCTTACATCTTCTATTCTGCTTCTGCTCWTTTTAGCTTCTTTTTGCTAAGTTTAGCTTTTTCTGCTATTTAAGCTAAAATCCTGCTTCTTTCTGCTGTTCTTCTATTTCTCTTCTTTTTTGAACATCTTGCAATTTTAGCTAATGTTCAGCTGTTATTAGTTAAAGTTAGCTTTTTTAAGCTAAATACACATTTTTTTAGCTACTGCAACTCATTTCTGCTGAGTTCAGCAAGCTTGTGCTTCTTATTTTTCCTTATGCTAATTAAAGAATTTCCAGCTACATTTTAGCTGTTTCACTGTAAATTTTAGCTGTTTAGCTATTTTACAACAATTGATCATTTTTTTATACTTCCATTTTTTCTACTAATTTTAAATTGTTTAGACTTTCACCTTCTGGGTGCTAACTTCAGTTTGTGTGTGCTAGCTTTAGCTTGTTTTGATGCTAACGTAAATTATTTTAAGCTATTTAAGATGTAATGCAGCTTCTGTCTGTGCTTCTTTCAGCTAAGTTTCATGTTTTAAACTGACCTTGAATTAAAAATGCAGCTAAAGTTTTCAGCACAAAGCGTTCATGCAGGAAATACAGTTTTTCTAGTTATTTTTCTGTCCAGTTTGTTTAATGTTGACCCCCTTCTCTGTGTACCTGTGTTGTACCTGTGTACCACCTGTGTACCTGTGTACCACCTGTATACCTGTGTTCCAGGTGATCACGCCCTGCAGGCGCCTCATTCTCTGTGCAGACAACAGGAAGGAGATGGAGGAGTGGATGGCGGCGCTGCGCAGTGCTCAGAACAGACAGAACTATGAGGTGAGAGCAGCTGTCACCTGTGTTCAGCAGGTAAGTGTGTGTACCTGCAGCTCACCTTGTCTGTGCCCCCCCCCCCCCCACAGTCCACCCAGTACAGCATGGACCACTTCAGCGGGATGCACAACTGGTACGCCTGCTCCCACGCCAGACCCACGTACTGCAACGTGTGCAGGGAGGCGCTGTCCGGAGTCACGTCTCACGGGCTGTCCTGTGAAGGTAAACAACAAACAAACAAACAAACATCAGTCTGAWCAGATTCACACCATGTCACTAACACACGTGGAAGTTAAAAGCTCACAAACGTTGTGCGGTCCAAGCCACCAACAACTGTAGCACTGATGAGTCATGTTTGTGTTTCTGAGGAGTCATGTTTGTTTCTGATGAGTCATGTTTGTTTCTGAGGAGTCGTTTTTGTTTCTGACGAGTCATGTTTGTGTTTCTGAGGAGTCAAGTTTGTTTCTGACGAGTCATGTTTATGTTTCTGATGAGTCGTTTATGTTTCTGATGAGTCATGTTTGTGTTTCTGATGAGTCATATTTGTTTCTGATGAGTCATGTTTGTTTCTGATGAGTCATGTTTGTTTCTGACGAGTCATGTTTATGTTTCCAATGAGTCATGTTTATGTTTCTGATGAGTCATGTTTGTGTTTCTGATGAGTTGTGTTTGTGTTTGACATGTGTGTGCTCAGTGTGTAAATTTAAAGCTCATAAGTGGTGTGCAGTCCGAGCCACCAACAACTGTAGCACTGATGAGTCATGGTTGTGCTTCTGAGGAGTCGTGTTTATTTCTGATGAGTCGTGTTTGTTTCTGAGGAGTCATTTTTGTTTCTGACGAGTCATGTTTGTGTTTCTGAGGAGTCATGTTTGTGTTTCTGACGAGTCAAATTTATGTTTCTGATGAGTCATGTTTATGTTTCTGATGAGTCATGTTTATGTTTCTGATGAGTCATGTTTATGTTTCTGATGAGTCATGTTTGTGTTTCTGATGAGTCATGTTTGTTTCTGATGAGTCATGTTTGTTTCTGAGGAGTCATGTTTATGTTTCTGATGAGTCATGTTTGTGTTTCTGATGAGTTGTGTTTGTGTTTGACATGTGTGTGCTCAGTGTGTAAATTTAAAGCTCATAAGCGGTGTGCAGTCCGAGCCACCAACAACTGTAAGTGGACGACTCTAGCTTCTATCGGGAAGGACATCATCGAGGACGAGGACGGGGTGAGACACGTGACTTTTGTCCCCTTACCTGGTCCCCTCACTCGTCCCTCTAAGCTGGTCCCCTCACCTGGTCCCCTCTAACCTGATCCCCTTACCTGGTCTCCTCAGGTGTCCATGCCTCACCAGTGGTTGGAGGGGAACCTGCCCGTGTCGGCTAAGTGCAGCGTGTGTGATAAGACGTGCGGCAGTGTCCTCCGGCTGCAGGACTGGAGGTGTCTCTGGTGCAAAGCCATGGTGAGACTCACACACACACACACACACACACACGCTCAGGCTGGGCCCAGCTCCCTGCAGGTGTCCTGAAGCTCAGGTGTGTTCTGTCTCCAGGTGCACTCAGCCTGTAAGGAGCAGCTGCCGTCCAAGTGTCCTCTGGGTCAGTGCAAAGTGTCCGTCATTCCTCCCACGGCGCTCAACAGCATCGACTCTGACGGTGAGGGACTCCGCCCCCGCAGGTGGTGAAACACAAACACCTGGCTGCGTGTCCGATCTGACATGTGACCTCATGTGTGTGTCCAGGTTTCTGGAAGGCGTCCTGTCCTCCGTCCTGCACCAGTCCTCTGCTGGTTTTTGTCAACTCTAAAAGCGGAGACAATCAGGGCGTGAAGTTCCTGCGGCGCTTCAAACAGCTGCTGAACCCTGCGCAGGTGTTTGACCTGATGAACGGAGGCCCTCACCTGGGGTTAGACGCACACACACACACACACACACACAGAGTTAAGGAGAAGCAGGTGAGCTGTAACATGAAGGTGTGTCTCTGTCCCGCAGCCTGCGCCTGTTCCAGAGGTTCGACACCTTCAGGATCCTGGTCTGTGGAGGAGACGGCAGCGTGGGCTGGGTCCTGTCTGAGATCGATGCCCTCATGCTGCATAAACAGGTAGGTCAGCCWCGTTAGGCTCCTCCCTGGGCTTAACGAGCTCACAGAGCTAACGAGGCTGACGTGTGTTTCAGTGCCAGCTGGGGGTTCTTCCTCTGGGGACCGGCAACGATCTGGCTCGAGTCCTGGGCTGGGGCTCAGCCTGTGATGACGACACTCAGCTGCCTCAGATTCTGGAGAAACTGGAGAGAGCCAGCACCAARATGTTGGACAGGTGAGCTGCTGTCCCCTGGCTCACACCTGTGGACCAGGTGAGGCTGTAAACACTCGTTTGTCTCCTCTTCTTCAGGTGGAGCATCATGGTCTATGAGACAAAGTTACCACGGCAACACTCGACCTCCACAGTTACCGAGGACTGCAGTGAGGATTCTGAGGTAGTGACATCACTTCCTGTTGCTTGTCCCAAAGACTCACCTGTGTTACCTGTCCTGTGTCAAACGCTGCTGTGGATAACAATGATGATGTTCTCTGACAGGTTCTCAGAACGTTTCTTCCTCTGATCCAGGTCCAGCAGATCCTCACCTAYGAGGACTCAGTGGCTGCTCACCTGACCAAGATCCTGACCTCAGACCAGCACTCTGTGGTCATCTCCTCTGCCAAGTAGGACCTGGTTCTGTTAAGATTCACTGATCCTCTGTGGACCTGGCTGTTCTCTAACGGGCTCTTTGTGTCTCTGGACTCAGGGTTCTGTGTGAGACCGTGAAGGACTTTGTGGCTCGAGTTGGGAAAGCTTACGAGAAGAACACGGAGAGTTCAGAGGAGTCTGAGGCCATGGCCAAGAAGGTACAACCCTGATGAGTCATGTCTGAGTTTCTGATGAGTCATGTTTGTTTCTGATGAGTCATGTTTTGTGTTTCTGATGAGTCGTGTTTGTGTATCTGATGAGTCATGTTTATTTTCTGATGAGTCATGTTTATTTTCTGATGAGTCATGTTTTGTGTTTCTGATGAGTCATGTTTGTGTTTCTGATGAGTCATGTTTATTTTCTGATGCGTCATGTTTGTGTTTCTGATGAGTCATGTTTATTTTCTGATGAGTCATGTTTGTATTTCTGATGAGTCATATTTATTTTCTGATGAGTTATGTTTATTTTCTGATGAGTCATGTTTGTGTTTCTGATGAGTCATGTTTATTTTCTGATGCGTCATGTTTGTGTTTCTGATGAGTCATGTTTATTTTCTGATGAGTTATGTTTATTTTCTGATGACTCATGTTTGTGTTTCTGATGAGTCATGTTTGTGTTTCTGATGAGTCATGTTTGAGTTTCTGATGAGTCATGTTTGTTTCTGATGAGTCATGTTTATTTTCTGATGAGTCATGTTTGTTTCTGATGAGTCATGTTTATTTTCTGATGAGTCATGTTTGTGTTTCTGATGACTCATGTTTATTTTCTGATGAGTCATGTTTGTGTTTCTGATGAGTCATGTTTATTTTCTGTTGAGTCATGTTTGTGTTGTGTTTCTGATGAGTCATGTTTGTTTCTGATGAGTCATGTTTGTGTTTCTGATGAGTCATGTTTGTTTCTGATGAGTCATGTTTGTTTCTGATGAGTCATGTTTATTTTCTGATGAGTCATGTTTGTGTCGCAGTGCGGCGTTCTGAAGGAAAAACTAGACTCTCTCCTGAAGACTCTTGATGAGGAGTCCCAGGCTTCATCAGTCCCGCCCCCAGCTCCTCCTCCCACCATTGCTGAGGAGCAGGAGGAGTTGGAGGTGGTCAGTCTACCTACTCCTCTCTGTCCTCTCCCTCCCCCCCACGTCTCGCCTACCTCGCCTCCTGTTTCTCCGAGGACCACAGCGCCCATCTTTAAACCTCGGGAGCAGCTGATGCTGAGAGCCAACAGTCTGAAGAAGGCCATCCGACAGATCATTGAGCACACGGAGAAAGGTGGGTCACCTGTGTGTCCAGGTGTGACTGCTCTGTGTCCAGGTGTGACTGTTGTGTCCAGGTGTGACTGCTCTGTGTCCAGGTGTGACTGTTGTGTCCA